TTTTTTTTTTTTATATATATATTTTATTTGCAATCTGTCTTGTACAAAACAATAAGCAAATCTTTAAACTAAAATTATAAATAACCGGATGGCTTGAACTCCAACGATATATACCTACATATCTCTTATATTGTTTCGGGCCGCATTTTAATGGGGAGCTAGTTACAGTTATATGATTAGCATAATCGTCGCCATTTTGCTACGCTGATTGGCTAGTGGCGTTGTATGCAGCGCTTGCCATTGGCTGTCGCCCGGCCATACAAACGGGGGTTGCTTGGCGCAAACGGCTGCTGACTATAAAGGATGCCGCAGCATCCGCACAGCGACTCAGTTCGTGTCGAAAGCTTTGCGGGCGCAGGACATCGGCATAAAAACTGAAACACAAATCTCAAATTCAGTTCGTGTGTCTGATTGCGATTCTTGTAAGTAAAAGTTGATCCACTTCAAATTAGTGTCCAAGCTGGTTTTTGTTCTAGTTAAATATTATTTTTAAGTGCGTGTTTTGTTCTCTGGAGTACAATTGCCGCCCTAAACGAGTTCTTAGGATTCGCAAAGCGCATTAAACAGCAAAATCAAAAAGGGGTTCGAAGCTCGAACTCCGAACACCGCCTCAACTCCCGCGGGCCACAATAAATGCAAACGTGACAATTGTTCCGTCGTTATTTGTGTAGGTGTGAAAATATGTCGCAAATAAAAGCCCGAAGAGCAGCAGCAACAATGTCGATAATAAGTAAACATAATAATAATCATAATAAATATAATATAATAGCAAACGCAAACAAAACACGTGACCAGAAAGGGTTCCCTAAAGGGGTTGACTGATGCACACACACCCTTCGGACGCCCACAGCATAATTCTATAAATAATGCAACTGTTATTTGCTACGTGGGCGTGTCTGTGGGCGGAGAGGCAATGCAAACATTCTTAATCAAGCAGTGCTTGAGATAGCGCCAACAAATACATATACATATATGCGTATGAGTATAGGTATATATGTACATATATCCGTACACCTGATTCGATTTAAGCAGCGCTTCATCTATCTATATATAAGACATATTCCTGAGCATTAGCATCAGACTCCTCGAGATTCAGATGTTTGTATTTGACACAATTCAAATCGATTTATTTATCGATTAGTAGTTCTGGATTTTGAGACCAAAGCTCTTCTTCTGGAATACAATTACCGTCTATTGCTATCGATTATCATTTGCTTAACATCGATAAAATCGATTTTGAGATTGACGTCTCCAAGCACAAATCAAGAACTGTTGGAGCTAGAAAATTCAGATTAGGTATTAGACTCTACTGGGGCTTATATCAATTGGAAATACTTTACTTTTAGTACAGCTCGTTTTGAGTTAACTCGAAAAATTGTAGACCTGGAGATAGCACACTTGGTATGTGGGCGCTTGATGTAAAGAATAATTCCTCTTTCGAAAAATTAAATATTTCAATCGGCTAGGAGCACACCATCTCAAGAGAGGTCTATTCAAAGCCCTTCAGACTTGGTTTCCCTGAGTTAACTCGAAAATTAACAGCGCTAAAGACATCAGAGCTGGTATTTGGGCTCTCGAAAGATATATGCATTATAGGATTATAGTTACCCTCAAGACGCTTAACTACTATTCTACTATTGGAGCTTGGTGCTTATATCGAAAGCCAATAGCTCTCTAGGCAATAGTTCACTCTTTATAAGCCTTCCTCTCTATATCATCGAAATTTGAACTTGAACTTGACAGCTTGTGATCTTTCTCTTAACCCCAAACAGTGGTCAGCCGAGGTGCAGCAGCATCGGGATTGGGATTAGGAGCATCGTCTAAATATGGTTTACGATATGGCACACTTGGCACCCGGGCCGCCGCAGAGCATCTCACTGAGTCGCTACTATATGGATCAGGAGGACGACTTGGCGTCGGGCAACAGCAGTGCGAACATATCGAACGGCCAAGGGCTAGGGCATGTCGCTAGCGAGGACTACGCGGCGAGCACGACGCTGGACATCGACCAGCGGTATCAGGCGCGGATTGCGTGCGAGACGGCGGCACAGCCGGCGCTGCCCGGGCCGCCGCCAACGCCGGCGCCGCGGCGTCGCACCACGCCCATCACCCACCTGGATCCCTCCGAGCTGGTGGGCCTGTCCAGGGAGGAGCGTCGTCGGCGACGCCGCGCCACGCTCAAGTATCGAACGGCGCATGCGACGCGCGAAAGGATACGGGTGGAGGCCTTCAACGTGTCCTTCGCGGAGCTGCGCAAGCTGCTGCCCACGCTGCCGCCAGACAAGAAGCTGTCCAAGATCGAGATCCTCAAGCTGGCCATTTGTTACATAGCGTATCTGAATCATGTGCTCGAGACGCCCTGAGATACCGCCAACGCCTCCAGCTGCAGCCAGTTGCCAGGCGCCATGTTTCTCAACAACAGCTCCACCTACTCCCCCAACTCCGCCTCCGCCTCCGCCTCCTCCTCCTCCCCCACCTCCTTCCCATACAACTAACTAACTGGAGTTCCGACATGCATATACCTAMCACTATCTATCTATATATATAAATATGTATATCTATTCTAGTCCATCGACTCAACTCGATCTTAGACAAAGTGTAAATTCGTGTGTTTTTTTTTCATAGATTATAGCTATATGTGTAATACGTGATATTTGCTTATATATCCAAGTCCAGCAATAAATTTATCTATATGTATCTATGTATATATTGTACAGCATTCATACGAGTTTACTTTTGGGGGCTACTCAAGAAACTGATTGGAAAACTATATATTGCTTCTCTGCACCCGTCTCCCAGTTCTTCGCTTACTCTCTTTCTCACTCTCCCCTGCTTTCCTATTGATATCGATTCATTTCAGCACGATCTTCTTTTAACTCTTTCATTCTTTGCCTCTGTATACATGTGTTTATCTCTGTCTCTCTCTCACTCGCTCTCTCTCCCTCTCTCTCTGTTTCCCATACATATGTATGCACATCGTTTCCCTTCCTCTATCTATTAATGTGGTTGTATAACGCACTACAGGGTATCTCTGATCCAATCATTCGCTTCTTTGCTTTAACTACTATTTAAAGCATATCTAATTAATGGGAATATTTCCCAGATATGGATGACCTCTTATTACAGGGTATCATACAGTAAATCACTTGTAATTTGCGCCACAAGTGTATCTCATTGTAAATCGAAATTCATCATTTACAGGGTATGCCAGGGGCAGTCAGTCACTCCGTTTGGGAAAGTTGCGTGGCTCAGCTGGCGTTGTCAAGTTTTTCATTTGTTTTGCTGTCTGCGCGCAATACGCCAGATGCGCCAAGCCCCAATCCAGAACCAAACTCCCCAGCATCTCTATCTCTTTCTCTCGCGCACACGCACTCTTCATCTCTCGCTCCCACGCTGCCCCACTTCGTGTGCCTGTGGCTGCTGTGCGCAGTKCAGGCCACGCCCCCGAAAATCTATAAAGTCTCCCCCAAATATATATTGTCAATCGCAGTGTGCGTTGCCCGAGTGAGCGTGTGCGTGTGTGTGTGTGTGTGTTTACATATACGAGTATTTGTCTGGTTTTGTTTGTGTATGTTGGGCTCAACACATTATTTGAAGTAACAGAAAAAACATATATTCATTCCAGTTTAACATCAGCTCGAACTAGAGCCATTGAAGATTCGTTATTTTTGTGTCTCGCTTTTCGTTCGTCTTCGAAATTCGAAATTCATAAGCCGTACAAAGAGGAGAGCAGGGGGGAGATCGAAAATGGCGTTCAATTTCAGTGCGATGCAGGTGAGCCAGCCGAACCTAACCTCAATTTAGTTGCGCCGGCGTTGCCACCTATCAAATTCGTCTGGCGTGGCAGCGACCCAATTGCAGGCGTCATCTAACTGTTTCTGCATTTCCGTGACCGTAACTGAAATTCGCTTAGTACGAGTCACAGAGGGAAGCGACAAAGCTACTGCTAGCTCGACTAGCATATACCCTGTAAAGCCGCTGTTCCTCGTCTCGATGGCTCTTCATGGGCTATGTTTTGATTGATTGGATGGACACAACATATGCAGTTGCCAATAGGGTAGTTGAAGTGCACGACTATTGTATACCCTGTACGGCAATTGTTGCCAGTCAGAGGGAAGACAGTCTGCCTCTTGCTTACAGCAAATCTTGACTGGTATATACCCTGTAAAACTGTTGTTGCTTACCTGTTTCTTGAATATCTACAGTTTCCTTTGGTATTAGGCTTAATGTTACCCAAAGAGGGCTAGTCTATACCCTGTGAGCCATCTGACTATAGCTGTAGCCCTCCATTCTCGCATACTTTTGAATTGATCTATCAAATTCTCAAGAAATGTTCTATCAAACGTTCGCTAATAGTTTCATGTGTTAGCATTAAGTTTACTCCAGTCCTACATACAGTTATGCATGTACATGTAGCTGGCTTTATGGCTTGTCTGTCTCACAAGGCCAACAATAACAACATAGACATAGACATGGCAACCGGGTGAGCGTGTCCTCAATATGGGCTATGTTTAGCCCGCACAGAAATCAAAATACCAATAGAGCTTCTCCCCACCCCAGTACCAGGCTCTATAAATAGAGAGCATAGGCAAAACGGGCGACAATAGTTAATAAATTCCAGTATCAGCTGAGGTAATATTCATGTGAACAAAACTATTTCGAAAGCAATCAAAATAATATTTTAGATTAGGCAAAGAGTTTCGTAATAGCTTTTAATTTGACTAATTTGATTTGATTGAATATATTTAGCTTTTAATTCCAAATACTTTAAATAGTTTAAAATCAATTAAATTCCACCTGAGCTGCAGCTCGATGAGTTAAACGCTTTCGACGCCTTTGTCGGCTGGCAGCTGAGCTGGGCTGTAGCATACATACAGGCATATGCATGTGTATGTGCATGTGYTGGCAAGTGTGTGTGTGTGTGTGATGCGTACGCAACTTTTGCATATTTTCCCATTGCCTTCTTGTCACCTACGTCGTGCCTATCTGCTCTCTCCTTCCCTTCCCTTCCTCTTCCCTCTCCCTCTTCCCTCTTCCAGGCAGCCGACAGCTATGCCAAAATAGCGACAGTTTTATTTACTTGGTTACCATTGCCGATTGCCATGCAACTTGTTTACAGTTATTTTTTCCAATTCTCTTGCAATACTTTTGTTTTTGCGCTGTGCACAAAGAAGACGCGCTCAAAATAGTCTAACGGAATTTGTGTGACTCGCAAGGCTCAGGCGACGGTCAAGCCGAAGTGACAAGTATTTTTGCTAGTGTGTGTGTGTGTGCGGGTGTGTGTTCACATTTTTTTTTTTTTTTTTTTTTTTGCATCTGCAGCGCCCTCTTATGGGGAATCGTATTTAATGGCATTTCAATTGCAATTACATGTGGACAGCTGTTTTGGACGAGCAGCCGAGGCTGAAATTGATTGGGAAATTGCGGAAAAGTGGAAATGGCAGTGAAAACTGTGCGCTGAGAAGCTACTGTTGTTGCTGCTGCCATTGCTGCAGTGCGTGAAATTAGCTTAAGTGTTGCCCACTACAGACACTCTCCGTCTCCCCCCTGCCCGTTACATCAGGCACGCCTCGTACGTGTGCGTGTGTGTGTGGGTAGGTGGGTGGTTGGTTGGTTGGTGTTGGAACCACACAAACACCAGACGCTGCACGTGCAGCTCGCTAGCTTTTTGACTGTCTAATCCAGCATGTGATAAATTGCACCCCAGAGGGCTGCACATGAAAATCATCGCTAAGGGTTTCCGGCTGCCTCGTGAAAAGGGGTGGGCCGCAATTGTCCCGTTATCTGTCTGAATGAGCTAAGCTCTTGAGGTCTTTTGTCGCGCCTCTCGTCCTATTGTTGCTAATTGAGTTTAAAATCAATTTGTATTTCACGCTTCGTCCTGCGTCCTGTTATCGATAGCCCCATACCAGACCAGCCCTGCCCACTCCACCCACCTCTAACGACGCCAGTGTTGTGTAATTGCCGTGCAAATTTAATTACAGTAGCAACGCCTCGCAACAAGATGAGAGACCTCTGTGCAGCTCCTTTGTAGATCTCCCTCTGGTTCGCACGCACTCAATCAAGGCCTGCCCCCGCCCCTGTCGCATTCCGTCATCAAGTGTTGACAGCGTGCCACGTGCTGCGGCCGCGGCTGCAGCTGCTGGGCGTGGCCTTGTGTATTGTATTACCATTCGCAATTTGCATTTGCCACCTCGGCTTGATTGAAATGAAGCTGGCGTGGGAAGCAGGACGAGCTGGATGGCTGCTCCCGCAGCTGCTCCACTTGCTCCATGCACTCAATGAAAGACGAAAAGAGCGAGACCCAAATAGAGAGCGAGAGCGAGAGCGAGATATCTGAGCTGAGCTGATAAATGATTGCGCCAGCAACTGTGATCCATGGCTCACGGCAGAGCTGTAGGTCTTAGCTCTGACTCCGACAGCAATTGCCAGTTCCGGTTCTACATTTGCTGTCTCTTGATACCCTGGCAACTGGCTGACACATGGGGTATGTACAACTCGAGTGCATGAGCGGACTATGAGTTCAAAGGAAGATGGAGTCAATGATAATAATTGAACAGCTCTTTTACTCTTCTCTTTCTCCCTCTCTCTCTCTCTCTCTCTCTGTCTCGCATTCTTGAGTTGATTACGCTTGCATCCTATTGAGGGGTATATCGTAGTCGTGCAATTGTGCCGCTGCCAAACCATTTTTTATCGCTTCTGTTTGCCGTCTGTTTAAAAAGGCAAACACAAACAGAGAGCGTGAGCGAGAGAGAGAAGGGGCGAGTGTGGCGAGGAGAGGGCAACTGAAACTGAAACAGAAGCACAAACAACGCATTAAGTGGCATTAGGCGAAATGCCTTTTTTACACATGTTGCAACACGGAGATTACGATTACGCCGTGTAATCGTTGCACGGGGGTTGGGACACGCCCACTGGGGCGGGCATGGGCCGGCCAGGGGAGGGAGGGTGCGGCTCAGCTAGGTCCGGTCTTTGGCTTTTTATCAATTGGTTTGCTTAGCGGCCATAAATAACAGCTTTAGGACTTGGCAATTGAAACAGGTGGCTGACAGGTTCAACTGGCTTAGAGCCAACTGCAGTCCCGCTCCCCTCTCTCTGTCTCTCTCTCGCTCGCTGTCTCTTCTTACCTTCGAAATGAAGAGGGGAGGGTGTGACGCACAGACGGACATCATGCCAGTTCTATTGAAGGAACTTGACATCTGTCCGTCCGTATATATTGTACCGTATCATATTTTGGTGTCTTGGCCTCCCGCAAAAGCATTTTATATCTTTGTAGGTCTGGAGTTCGTGAACTGTGCAATTTCTTATAGAGCTCGACTCAAGAATATAAATTGATCGGTTCATTCTCTCTCTCTCTCTCTCTCTCCTGCTGCAATTCTCGCTTCCCCATTTCTTTTCATCTCTCTGGCTCTCTCACTTTCTATTTTTATCTTTCCTCCCCTCTGCCTTATACGATTGAATTAAACCTTTTTCCTATTATTACTTTACCTTTATCTTCTGCTCTATTTACCCTGCCCCTACCCCTGCCGCTCGAGCAGTACGAGCGCGGCTTTCAAGCAAAGAGCGTCAGCAATTGGGAGTATCCGCGTTTCTCGCCGCCTCTGCCACGCAATCTGAGGGGCAACTCGACGCCCATAGCAGGGAACGACGGGCACCTGCTGCCCACAGCGCCCCGGTAAGCTCGAACCCGAAATTGTCCATTTATCGAATATGAAAGGTATGCTCAAGCTCTCATCCTTGCAGGGACGGCAATTTCCTGGGCAACTACCGCGGCACGTATCATTTGCCTCTGCGCATTACGCGCAGCTTTGCGACGCTCTACAACAACTGCCTAAGCAACAGGTACAAGTATTGGAAGTACCCCAGAGATCTGTGCAACTGCCAGCGAGCGCTTAAGCGCCAGTGCGGCTACCGGGAAACGCTGGGCCTCAAGGACGATCCGCTCTGGCAGCGGCCCGCGTGCCAGACCAAGTGCCAAGGCTTGAAGCAAATACTCGAAATCAACAAGCAGCACATGAAGTGCCGACGCGCCAAGTGCGTGCCAAAGGTGAGTCTCGCTTAGCTCAATCACCATCAATCAGCTCACAGCTGCAATGCACAACCACACACGCACACCCTCATCCACGCCCATAGTCGAATGAAAAGTTGATTCCGCGCGTTGGCGATGCCTCGTCCAGGAATCGAAAGAAGCTAAAGAAGCGTCCAGTCACCGCCTTCGAATACAATCGAAACAATCACCGCGCCGAAGACGCGAAGGCAAATAAGGCTTCTAAAGAAACTGTCAAGGATCATTCTAAGGAGCCCGGCAAGGACATTAGCAAAGAGGCATCCAAGGACGCCAAGGTCGCTGTCTCAGCTCCAAATCAAAACAAGACAACAGCCAAGTCCACTACCAAAGCGCCAAAATCAAAGAAGCAGTCCAAGTAATCCCCCTCTCTTTCCACTCGCTGAACTGGTTGACATACAAATTCGAACGTGAAATCTTTTAATAAATTTTTTTAATATGCAATCGGTCAATCAATCAGATTGTCAATAAATCAGACAGGCTAATCAATCAATCAATCAATTTATTAGTCTTGCACATAGTTCCGCCGCTTCCTCAATCAGATAGGTATAGATAAGCACATAGCACATTGAAAATATTCTCAATCATACATCATCGATTAATGATAGCCAAAAAGCATTAAGCATCATCAATCATTAATAGTTATACCATAAAACAATAAACTTAGGTTATCAATCAGGTATCAATCGATCGTCAATCGCCTATTCAGTCTCATTTTTCCATTCCTAATACGATTGATTGACAAATATTCAATCATCATCAATCATCAACCTTCAGTCAAAATAAATTATGCATCAATCATTCATCAATCATCTTCAATTTTATTTCATTTATCATGATCCATCCACATCCACATGGTAATCCAATAATCCTCCATCAATCACTCATCATCACATTAGTTGATTGATATCGATTGAGAGTACAAATCCGACGTGAATCACTTGTTCAATCATGTCGCAAGCAGCCGTTGCCAGCAGCAGTGTGAACTACAAGCTGCCGGATCTGAGCTATACGCCCGGAGATCTCACCGAGCCGGAATATCGTCTGCCCTCGCACCAGCAGCTGCTGGACGCGAAACTCAAGCCACAAAATGCGCCCGAACGGGAGCTACCCCTAAGCCGTCTCTATTTGGACGAGGAGGCGGACAGATTTGATCGAGCCGGAGCGAAGGAGGTGAGCAGACAATTTCCGGCTCTAGCCGCCGCCCAGGCCAAATACACGGGTCAACTGAATCAGAACTCGAGTCTAGTTCCGTCCGAGTTGGACTTCTCGCCCGGCAGAGATCTGATCTCAAGTAGACCAGTGCCCGCTCCCACTCCCGCTCTAGCTGAAACAGACTTGAGCCGTAAGATGCCATTGCACTCGATTACGGAGAAGCCGAATGAACGTTGTCCGTCGCCCGTAGTGCCAGCGTATGCGAACTTCGAGCTGGCCAAGCGAATGCATCAGGATAACCTCGACCATCAGCCGTTGCCCGATTGCGTCGCTGACTTGGCCTTTCGCAAGGCCCAAATAACTGGAGGTCACGGCGGCCTAGCCCTCGACATCGATCCCATTGCCACGGGCGTTGGTGTGAAGACCCACAACGCCGGCCCGACGCACTGCACCAAGATGAAAGTCTATCGACCAAAGACGGGAGGCGTTCTACCCAAAGCCTTGAACGGAGATCCGTTCCGTGGAATCGGCTCGGCGCCACCGAAAAAGATGGGCGCGATGGACCTGGCCATTGGGTGGGACTTCAAGCCAGCCAATCCGGCGGACGAGCCTCGTCTGGCAAGGCACATAGATGGCTCCAACGATTCCGCTGGACCGGCCGTGTTCACGTGCGTCAAAACCCCTAGGGAAGAGCAGCCCAACATAGAGCTGGGTCGCTCTGCGGGCGTATTTACGAGCACCATGGGTGAACCGGACTTTTTCGACAAGGACATACTACGGCGGAAAACGGACTTTGCCGGCCGATCAATGGCTCGGGAGGAGAACTGCGGCTGCGACTACGCACCGCCTGCGCGTGCACGCAGCGTCTCGCGGGAGTCCAGCGCTTCGCATTGTCGTCGAGCTCCAAATTTACTCGACTCCAGCGGGCACTCCGGCGGCGTTAGCTTTGGACTGCCAACGAATCGCCTAGCCAAGCAGTATCAGTCCTCGCCCATGCTGGGCGATAAAGCCTATCAAGCGCTGCGAGAAAAGTATCTCGGACCGGACACCAGCGATTGCCACACGGGCTGTCCGCAAATCCCGGGCCCGGCTTGCAGGCGAGATCAGCCGGCTCGTCGACCGACGCGTCGCCTCTGCCACAAAGTGGCACCGGCTCCCCGATGCTGTCCCTCGGCTCACGGCCATTGCCTGTCGAGCAAGGCGGCCTTTCGTGCCGGCATGCCCAAGCTGAATGCCTCCGGCGATTTCGTGGGCATCCCGCCGAGCTGCGGAGCTGCCTCGGGTGGAGCTGCACGTGTTTTGGTCGTGCCACGCCCCCGACAGCCGTATGCGAAAAAGAACTACGACATCGACACGCTGGTGCCACCGTTCCGCAGTCAAGGCGGCGGCGCCGGACAAGGCGGCTATCCGGAGCACTGGAGGCTGGCCAGCGTCTATCAGCACGCCTACAAGCCGCCCGAGCAGCGCAGGAGACCCCTGCTGCAGACTGTCTACAAGTAGAGCTGCAGCTTGCTCACAGATCCGTCTGTTCTTCAGTAGAGATCTCTTCTGGGGCCTTGAGGGAAGGACAAGGAGATGGCTTTGTCCAAATAGGATCTCTTCTACACCAGCTCTAGAGGAATTCCTTAAGGATATTGGAATTCTTTAAATTAGGTTAGGATATGCTTAAGAATCTCTTCTTTTTAGATTAAAATCGATGCCCCAAAAGGTATATATCTCTTGAAAGGGAAGAATTCCTGAAGAATATGAAATTAGATTAAGTAAACTCTACTCATTGTTTCAGATGGAAAAGGGATCTCTAAAAAGATAAATATTGCTTAAGATATATCGGGAATATTAGGGAATACCGCCTTACATTAGGAGAAGCGACTATTCAACAACTCATGTTATTTCATCTGAGATTCAAAAGAGGCCTATTGAAATTACTTCCAATTGGAGACTCAACGGCTCTGTTCCAATTTAAAGATATCCTTAGCTCTTTGAACTAGAAACTTCGGAGCTTTACCTGAGCTTGGTGTTACCAGACTTTACACTAAAAGGCCATTACGATCAAAGGCTTTTGCATATGAGGACCAATAAGCTAATCGATGAGTTTTAAAAGTCTAGCAATGTTAGGAGCAGACATTAAATTAGACGATAGTTTCGTCATATGGAATCGTAATCGCCTTAAAATATAAAATTGAACAAATCGAATTCCTGGAACACAAATAAATCAACTTTTTTTTTTTTCATTATATTGGCTCCAGCTAAAAAGTCAATATTAGATATAAATACATAACCTCACAAATATTAAATAAATATCAAATTTTATTGAAGTGCAATATAAATATTTAAAAACAAATCTTAAATTTAATATAAGAAAAAAACGTGCATTTAAATTGAGAGTAGAATAAACATCTATAAAGAGGGGTTTACCCAATAAAAACTGGAACAAGATTTGTAAAAATTTGTCAATAATAAATTGCTTAAATAAATTGCATGAAATACGTTTATATCAAGAGAGGCAAGCTCAGATATATATATAAATATATATTTAGGAATATATATCATTAAAAAAAATACCATATAATATATGTATATTATACGGAACACTTGATATAAATTATAAGAATTTCTGGTTATAGCTGATCAATAAACACACGCTGCTTGAACATTGGAAACATTGAGAATTGTGTTTAAAAATACTTAGGAGCTCCATCAATCAATCATTTATAACCTCACTTTATGTGGATCGCAGAAAAGCGCATTTAGTGTTTTATCTGCGTGTAAGTACAGCTAGATGCTTGCAAGTTCTTTGTAACTGTGCTTCAGAGCTATTTCTTGTTTTAGAGCGGGACAGCGTTGCCAGATAGTGAAAGAAGTGAACTAATATATCTACGAATATCAGAGGCATCTAGCTCAATATATATGTATGTATATATAAACTCTGATGTCAGCATTTTTTACATATACCAAACACTTCAAACATCGTTGCCAGATCGCTTCAAGTAAAAACTTAATACTAAAATAGATTTAAAAAAAAAAAAAAAACATTTGTGGACAATCTTTGGATGCTAAAGAACTTGTAGAACGTGTTACGTATGTAAGCGAGTGGAACCTATCCATCTGTCTCTCTCCCTCTCTTACTAGTCGTACTTGTGTGGCCTGTCTCTCTCCCTCTACTAGTCATACTTGTGTGGCCTGTCTCTCTCCCTCTCTCCATCTCTTCGTTGGCAATTGTGCCTTATGGAGAGCGTCCCAGAATTTGTGGAATCTATCTCTCTCTCACTATCGCTCCCTCCTCACTCGCTCTCTCTCTCTGCTCATTTGGCCGTCGCGTAGGCATCGTGACTCTTGTGGAACACATGTCGCAGCACATCCCGTGTAGAGCGCCTGATACTGTTGCGCAGGGTGTGCTTCTTCTCATTCGTTAGCTGATCGATGGTCATGTACTCGGTTTGGGGAATTGTGGAGCGTAGCTTCATGGTTCGCTCGCTGCTGTCCACAATGGAGACATCCAGTGGGCCGCAATTTGGCGCCTGCGGCTGCGGCTTCTGTGGCCGCCGGCGCAGACTGTGGCGTATGCTAGTTAAGATGTTGTGATGAGGTTTCTCCGATGAGTCCGATTCCTGCTCCGATTGTTGCTTGTGCTCCGCCTGCGGCTTGGGCATAAGCTTTCTAATGGATTTCCTTATCATATTGCGCACGCCGTGCGCACCATGCAGCTCCTCGGACTTGGCAGATTTGCTGGATGCAATGGAGTGCAAGGACTCCTTGCTGCCTGCCACATTTACAGCTGCAACTGCAGGCGTGGCAGCTGGGCGATAGGAGCGTACGAAGCGTGTGGGAGCCTTGAAGTTAAGCTCAGCCTGCTCCTCTTCCTCTGGCTCCGATTCGGAGGCATAGGCCACATCATCGCCCTCGAGTTGTGTCTGCTTTTCCGACTCCTGTTCTAGCAGCTCTGCCTGCTGTTTCGGCTTCCTGATGGATTTGCGTATATTGCTTTGCATGTCCAGCTCTAAGGATTTGGTTGATCTGGCGGATGTTATGGAGTGCAGCGACTCCTTGCTGCCAGCTATGGCTGCAGCTGTTCCACCTGGTCGATAAGAGCGCACGAAGCGTGGAGGAGGCTTAAAATCGGCGACAGCAGCTGCCTCCGGCTCCTGCTCTTCCTCCGAATCCTCAGAAGCATACGCCACATCTTCACCTGCCAGCTGAGGCAGCTCCAGCGGCTCCTCCTTCGACTGCTGCTCCGTCTCACGCTCCTCCTCATTTGCCTCCAGTATCTCTGTTAAGGTCTGCCTGCGTGTGGTGCACACGTAGCGTCGCTCCTCGCTGCCCTGTTCGACGCTGGAAACCAGTTCCAGCTCTGTCTGCTCCGTCTCCAGCAGCAATCCATTCTTGCGCAGCTTCGCCTCATTGATGCTATTCTCCAGCTCCAGTTGGTAGCGGTCCAATTCCTTGCCAATGTCCATGCTGCTGCTCTCCTCGCTGATGGCACCCAGCGAACGTTTGGCTGGCGCCTCCAATTGCTTGGGAACTGGCGAGAAGACCAGTTTCTCGGCGAGCAGCTTGCTGGGCGTGAGCTGAGCCAACGATAGGCCATGGAAATCGATGCGACAATTGAGTCGCGGGGTAAATGGCAAACCTATCTTCAAGTTGGTGGGCAATGGCTCCTCGGCCAAGGCCGGATTCTCTACACCCGTTGGATTTCCAGCTGCGTTGGAGATGTCGCTGCGACGATGAATCTCAAAGGGATTCAGCGAGGCGGGTGCATCATTGCCTCGTAAATTCAAAGCCTCGTTTACGAACCCCTTGGTGGGCGTGGCAGTTGCACGAACGACCTTAAATAGGGTTTAGGTTAATAAGGAATACAAGAGAGTATGAAAGCTCTGACACTTGCCTCATATGGATTAAACTGACGCTCCGGCAACTCAAGATTCAAAGCCGGATTCTCGAAGCAAGCGTGCGCGCGCTTCGTCTTCTTTGAGGGCTGACGCACTACCTCAAAGGGATTTAGTGAGAGCTGTCCCTGCTGCTCTTTTTGCTGTTGCTGCACTGCAGCCAAATCCGCAATCGATTTAATTTCTAGTCCCGGATGCGCAGCAAAGGGATTTGGTTGCTCGTTCTCTTTGACCAAACGACGACGGCCTATCAATTTCTTCGGCGTCGAGCTGAAGGCGGCGTTGGTGAAGCATGACGACGCATTTCCTGTAACACCAGGTGCAGCAGCTGCAGCTGCAGCGGCTCCTTCGGATTTAAGGGTGGCGGCTGCGCAATTGGTTTCACGTTTGCGTTTGCGTGGCGTCTCATTGAAGGCCAAGGCAGCGATGCTCTTGGTTTCCAGCATTTTAAACAGAATTTTTTTATAGCCAACCGAAACGTTTAAAACTGTTTCACGATGTTCTACAAGGAGCAAAATAACAAATGTACACAAAGCCAATTGTACGCCTCAAACAATGCGCGCCATTTTGAATTCATAAAATAGAAACAGTGCTGCACAATTATGGATAATAAACGCGTAGCCCTGGACTATCGCTTGAAGAATACGCACTTGTGATGTGAATGGCAAATCTTAAAGAAGAAGTGCGCATCGTTTGCCGCCATAAAGTAGTTTGAATATACCGGCTGATATTTAATTTTTCCTAAGAATACAAATTATAGTAAAGTTAAGGGCTCGTCCACGCGAGCCAGTCGTTTGATAATTAATAAAAAACAAACATTAATTTTAACAAATATGCTAAAAGATATCGATATTTCGAATATCGATGTATTGTTATATATTCGAGAGTCGTAAAAAAATCTATATGATACTTTTCCTAGTTAATCAAAATTTTTATTTATTTAAATAAAATAGTTCGTTCGTCAGAATCGCACAAAAAAAATATGTATCTTTATTAATCAAACATCGATATACAGTGCTCGATTATTTCAACGTAACACGTGTGCGGTGGTCAAAACGGTAAAAGGCAAAAGTAGCAGCATTTTTCGCAGCTGCTGTTGGTGTGTGAGTGCTCGGTGTGTTCCTGTTCCGTTGTAAAGCAGCAGCCCGTCGTCTAGCAGCAGCCCCCAAAAGCCCGGACCAGCATTAACAGCCCGACAAATGCGAATTGGCTTGGATTCTTTTGCGTGACACGTTCAGTTTTTATTTTTCTATCAACAAATTTAAAGGTGAGATGTGCTATATAACGCCAACCGTGAAAAACTCAATAATGGCACATCACACATATATAAATGTGCACATGTGTCAGTATATGGATATATACACACGCATGTATATATAATTTGTGTATGTGTGAGTACGCGTGTGTGCTGTAATAGTTTAGGAGAAGTGTCTGGCGCGTGTGTGTTGCAATTTCATTCCTTTCCCCTACTTTTCACTGCACACCTGCAGACTATCATCAGCTGCACTGAAATTCCTTTGTGCACATTTTGTAGAGTGAGTGCGCAGCGTCTCCCATTGACCAAAAGTGATTCATTGCGAAAAAAAAAAATGCGGCAATGTAGGTGAAATGTGGTTCATCAACAGCTAGAACGAAAATCCAAAAGCATGTAATTTGCTAATACGTAGATATAAGAGCAAATCGTGATGCGTATTGCGCTTTCAAGTTTTTTCTGTTTAACCGTTTTTCGGCGCATTGTTGAAACAGTTGCTGCCGAAGGTGCGCATGTGGCGCCATCTGCAGCCCAGACAGCGTACCCTCTACATACTTTCCACATCCACAATCGCATGCACAGTAAATTTGCGCTGTATCTTTTCTCACATGTTCTTTTTCAATATTATTGAAACTGGACGTGGGACGCGCAATAGGAATGATAAAAATATGTTTCCTTATTATATGCGATTATGATTTAAGTAATCTTACTGCGCGGCTTTCTTTCCAATTCGTATACACTTGAGAGGCACGGAGCGTGGCATTGCCACAAGATCTAGATACTCCAAAGACCTCAACTCTATCGAAGATAATAATTGACACTTATGACATGACATTTAGCAACACTACGTGGGAAACTCATTCCAGTTCCAGTGTGGAAGTAATTCGTAATTCAGATCTAACTGTCATTTCACTTCTACAGTCGTCAAGAAGCATTAAATACTACACAAAGTATAGATATACAAAGTTCGCTCAAGTTGAAATATGATTGCATTTGTGTATCTGCTGCTCTTGTTCCTGATCGGCGTATTGAATCATTCGTTGTTCATCCTTATGCTGTTTCAACTGTGTTTTTCTTTTGTTGTCATTCACAGCACTCACATACACACACACGAGCGCAGGCACGCTCAAACAGGAAATATATATACATTCACATATATATTTACAGATATATAAAATACATTTTAGGCATACAGGCAACACACACACACACGCACACAAATTTCGATTCGGCAACTTCAAAGTATTCAAAGTAAACATAACCTAAAAAACAGATAAAATTTCAAAAGAATCAAAATGCCGTCGGACGCTAAGAAACGGGATGCGCAACGCAAAAAGGATGCGCGCAACAAGAAAATCCAACAGATACCATCCACAAAGAAGATGAATGGCAATGCCAACGGCCTCGATCGGGAGATGACCGAGGAGGAGAAACTGTGCGCCAAGCTCGAGGAGGAGGCTAGAATCAGTGCCGAGGCTAGATCCTGCACTGGCTCCCTGGCCGTGCACCCAAGATCACGTGACGTGAAGATTGCCAACTTCTCAATTACGTTCTTCGGCTCGGAGCTGCTGCAGGACACAATGTTGGAGCTGAATTGTGGTCGTCGCTATGGCCTAATCGGTCTGAATGGCTGCGGCAAGTCATCGCTGCTCGCCGTTCTCGGCAGGCGCGAGGTGCCCATACCGCCACACATTGATATATTCCATTTGACGCGTGAGATACCGGCCAGCACGAAAAGTGCGCTGCAGTGCGTCATGGAGGTGGATGAGGAGCGCATCAAGCTGGAGAAACTGGCCGAGGAACTGGCCATGAGCGACGAGGATGATGCCCAAGAGCAGTTGATCGATATCTACGAACGCCTCGACGATATGTCCGCCGATCAGGCCGAGGCCAAGGCAGCTCGCATCCTCCACGGTCTCGGATTCGATAAGGCCATGCAACAGAAGCAAGCCAAGGATTTTTCTGGTAAGAACTGCTCGTGACAATATTCATATACAGTAGAATCCAGCCATAACGACTCCGCTTATAGCGTCTGTACGGCTATAGCGACCAAAATTCTGGTCCCCAGACAAACTTTTATGAGCAAACTTATACGGTTGTAGTGTATATAGAGTATAACAGTGCCTTGAGTGTCGCTATAATCGGATTCTACTGTGTATTATAATCCATTTCTTATCTTAGCTCTGCATATTCCTTCTAGATGATTCATGGTTCAATCTTTTACTAGTTCTCCTATTCTAAAGAAACTTTCCATGTGAACTCAGCTTCTGTTTAGGCTATTTTTGTTAAACTTGGTGCATTTATTTGATATAACAATACATAGATTAGTCAAAGGATCGCAGCATAGCTGTGATAGTAACTTTAGGATGCTCCAATAGATGACTCCTATTCCTCAATGTATATCAAGAGCATTTCTTCTAACAGCTGTCATATAGAAAGCAATCTAGATTGTTGTTCATTCAAGTCTTTATGGCTTAAGTTCTCACCAAGCCATCAATCATTTCGGCCTATCTATCATTAAATTTAACCTAATGTTGCCAAATTTCCCATTGTAACGTTGCCACCTAGACGAAATGAGGCTAGATAATAGCACTTCCACTTGGTCACTACAACTCCCAAGCGAATCAAAGATGTCTAATTCTCTCTGTGTTTTTCCCCCTTGTTCAGGTGGTTGGCGTATGCGAATTGCGCTGGCGCGCGCTCTATTTGTCAAGCCGCATCTGCTGCTGCTGGACGAGCCGACAAACCATTTGGATTTGGACGCGTGCGTGTGGCTGGAGGAGGAGCTGAAGACGTATAAGCGCATCCTGGTGCTCATCTCACACTCGCAGGACTTTCTTAATGGCGTCTGTACGAACATCATTCACTTGACGGGCAAACGCTTGAAATACTATACGGGCAACTATGAGGCTTTTGTGCGCACCCGCATGGAGCTGCTGGAGAACCAGATGAAGCAATACAACTGGGAGCAGGATCAGATTGCACACATGAAGAACTACATAGCGCGCTTCGGCCACGGCTCGGCCAAATTGGCCAGGCAAGCACAATCCAAGGAGAAGACACTGGCCAAGATGGTTGCCCAAGGTTTAACCGAGAAGGTGACCGACGACAAGGTGCTCAATTTCTATTTCCCATCATGTGGCAAGGTGCCGCCACCTGTGATTATGGTTCAGGTGAGTCAATTGGCAATATATTTGTGATCTCTGTACTGAACGCTCTCCCCTCCCTTAGAATGTCAGCTTCCGATACAACGATGAAACTCCCTGGATCTATAAGAACCTTGAGTTTGGCATTGATTTGGACACGCGTCTCGCTCTGGTAGGCCCCAACGGAGCTGGCAAGTCGACGCTGCTGAAGCTACTCTACGGCGATCTGGTGCCCACATCTGGCATGATACGTAAAAATTCACATTTACGCATCGCTCGCTATCATCAGCATCTGCACGAGCTGCTCGACCTGGATGCTAGTCCATTGGAGTATATGATGCGCGCCTTTCCCGATGTCAAGGAGAAGGAGGAGATGCGCAAGATAATTGGACGATATGGCTTGACTGGACGGCAGCAGGTGTGCCCCATACGTCAGCTCTCGGATGGGCAACGTTGTCGCGTTGTCTTTGCCTGGCTGGCCTGGCAGGTGCCTCATCTGCTGCTACTCGACGAACCTACAAATCATTTAGATATGGAGACCATCGATGCTCTGGCAGATGCTATCAATGATTTCGACGGTGGCATGGTGCTAGTTAGTCACGATTTCCGTCTGATCAATCAGGTATGTATACCAATATGCTGATTACTGCAAGCAGGATCATGCTAATGCTTCTTTGTCCACTTTTCTCTAGGTTGCTGAAGAGATTTGGGTTTGTGAGAAGGAGACGGTGACCAAGTGGAAGGGTGGCATTTTGGACTACAAGGATCACTTGAAGAACAAGATTACCTCCGAGAACGAGAAGAAGGCCAAGGTGGCAAATAAATAGTTAGCTACACATACACCCACACACGCATACATATATATGTATACATATATATGCAACACACACACTCGTACACTCTGAAATACAGCTTGAAAACTCTTCTGGAAAAACGTTGCTCTCGCTCTCGCAGCAGCTGCGCCTCTCGCTCTTTATCTCCTAATTTGTGTGCGAAATTAGTTTTTGAGTTTACACAGGACACACACACGCACTACACATACACATACAAATTTTTAGGTGAATTTTTTCCGTTTTTTTGTGTCAATATAAATTTAAATAAAATGTGAGTCAAAAGGAAAGTAAAAACAAACATAGAAACAACAACAAATGCTTGTGATCTTAATCTTAAGCCACACACACACACACACCCACCCACACTCACTCTGGCATGTTGTGCACAACAAGCTGTGGCTTAAGTGTTTATTTTTTTTTTTATTTATATATTATTTTGTATTTTGAGAACAATTTCTTTGCTAGGTTTCAAATTGTTTGATGCGCTTAAGCTAAATAGAAATAAAGAACATATAGTAAACAATATTAAAATATACATACATTAACATACATATATATGTATAGGCACATGTATATACATATATATCATGTGCATGTATTGGATAATTATGAACAAATTGCAAGACCAGTTAAACAATAATAAAATTGCTACTGCCCGCTGCCCTTCCCAAAATCAAAAGTTAAAACTAAAAATAAGTATATATACATATATATATCAAACTTTTTTGATAGTTTATAAAATTGGAATTTGCTAGAGAATTAAAATGCAGTAAATGTTTTTTTTTTTATATATATACGAAAATAAAACGAAGCGTTTTTAAAGAAGTAATTAAAAGCGAAAAATAACTACATAACTATAAAAAGAAAAGTAACTTACTAAATTGTTCAATGAAAATAATTTCATATACAATAAACATATATACAATACAATGCGAAACAGAAAATTTAAGTCAACTAAAAAATTTAAATTCAATAAAAACAAAACATGGAACAAATAGATAAAACAATAAAGTGTGTGTGTTTTTTTTTTTTTTCAATATACAACCAATTTATTTTTATTTGAATTAAAGCAGAGAAACTAATTCAACTCTAACCTCAAAATTGGTTCAAAATAAAAGTGATATACGTAGAGAATTTAGCGCATTTTAAGCTCATGTAAAATGCAGACGTAGTAGAGCCGGTAAAGTATAAATGTATAGAGTATATATAACAGCAAAGTGACTTCATCCCTACATTTGAGTTCAGCGATCTTGAGAACTAGAAAAGCAATACAACTGGAATTTGGTCTACGTTTTTACTGCTCACTATACTTAACAAAGGGCTTATCTCTTTTTCCAATAACTCATTGCATTGCAGAGTTCAGTGGGGCTTACTGTATGTATGCAGTCTCACCCTTGCCATAGATGGCGCTTGAATGAATGAAATACGAGCTTTGTATTAGGTACAACAAAAGCTATAATATACATCCATATGTTCTTTTTTCTTTCGTTTTATTGTACTCGAGAGTTGTATACATAGTTATTTGTTTTTATGCATATTACAGTTAATTTATTATATTACTACTATAAGCTAATATCGTTTATACGTTCGCGTTATTCGTGTAGGCACGTTGACAAGTTTTATTGGTAGACTCTCGATATTGCATATACTACACACTATATATTTATATTAATATACATACATACATATTTTGATACATCTATATTCACATTCATATATATGCATATACACACATATATATTATAAATTTGCACTTGCATTTTTCTGTTCGTTTCGTATGTTACAAATTTGTTTGTGTGTGTGTGTGTGTGTCGTCTTTCGCTCCAGGCGTTGAACGTTGGAGTTTATTGATAGCTAGGTGTATAGGTAATAAAAGATGAAGTGAGGTGAGGTGAGATTTGAGGGGAGGCTGCTCAAACACAAACGATCTTTAACAATTCGCAACTGAAAGTCTATTGTTTAGTACATCTCGCTGCTCTCGCTGATCCTTAACAAATCGAACTAGTGCGGTTCTGGAACGGCTAAGAGGAACTGTCAAAGTTAAGAATGTAAAATGTGATGTGCACATAAGATCGAACAGCTGATAATACGGAAGAGATAAATGCACCAGCTGTCGTTGCTTTTGTCCGTGTGCTGGCAGGAAGAGAAAGGATAATGAACGGATGAACGAAGGAATGTAGGAAAAAGGTAGGTAGGTCTAGTAGATCTTTGATAGCTCAGAATAAATAGTCTTAAGGAGCTGGCGCTCCTGTTGACTGATCGAAATGTTGTCGGCGCCAAAGTCACGCAGCAGATGCTTGAGATCACACATGTTTCGCTCGACCCAGGCGCAAACGATCTCCGCCAGGCCATACTGTTGCTGTATTGGCACCGAGGCGCCGGCACGCTCAGTCGGCTGATTGGCGGCGTGAATCAGCTGCGATGGAGTCTCATACTGGGCGAGTGTGTAGTAGTATTCAATCAGTTTGATGTGTGCGGGGGATTGGCGTGCTGGCGGCAAGTTGAGATGGACTAGCAATAGAAGACGCAGCACTTCGACGCGTCGCAACAGTTCGCCGTACATCGAGGCCTTGCGCCGCTCATAGATGTTGTCCACAATGTCATCCAAGTGAAGCAAAGCGCCGCGGTAGTCCTCACGCTGCATACTCATCTCGGCGCTAATCTCCAGATCGTTGATCTGATGAGTAGGCGAGGCAAAGCTGCTTGTGCGTTCCAATTTGCGTTTGAGATGCTTTAGCTCGCGCAGCACTCCTGCTTTGAAGACTCCACTGTCGGCCACATGCTCGGCTGCCTTATTGTAGCAATGGAGAGCGCCCTCGCGGAAACCATTCTGACCGCTGCGCAGGTGCAGCTGCTGGAATTCGTTGTGTGCTAAGAGAAAGGCACGTGCGGCACGTACATATGCCTCAGCCTCGCGCTGAGGTGATCCGCCGTATGACTCACATTTGGCATAGCCAATGTGACACATGGCCGCATATTGCATGATACCCGACTCCTCGAAGTTGTAGGCCAAACGCTGGAAGTCTGCCTGGACATCGGCCACGTTTGGTGCAAAGCGCCTGCAAAATGCGAAAGTCATATTATTCGCTATAAACTGCTCATATGGATTCAGATCGTTTCACTTACTTGAAGAATACTACACGTTCGATTTTCTTTATTTTTGTTGAGGCGCGAAGATATTGTTCAATTGGATTCTTTGGGTATTGGTCGAGCTGTAGCTGTTGTTGTTGGTGTTGATGATGATGGTGACGGTGATGATGGTGGTGGTGATGATGATGTTGTTGTTGCTCTGCCGGCTGTGCGTTGGCAGTGTTATTGTTGCGTAGTTTCTCCATGATTTTTAGATATTATTCAAGTGCTTATACATTATACATTCTGATCTTTGTATCAAACTAACTTGTCAAAAGAAAAACAAAAAATAGTAACAGCCTTGCAAGTGCTGTACAATGGTACATAGCAAGCGTTGATAAATTATGTAGAATGGAAAGCAGGCACAGGTTGACTTTTATCACACGTGTGTGACGTCACAACTTGTTGATTATTTCATTCGATATGCCCAGGAATCGTATTTATTAATAATCACGCAACCACTTTATGATTACATTTCGGAGCTCAATGTTCGTTCACAATCCAAGCGCGAATTCTGTCGCAAGCTACGCAAGATACAATTTGTGCATTAAGCGGTGTTACCTGTCCATTTGCTCTGTGCCATTGCTGTTGAGCATTAGCCAGCACTGCTCCGCCAGCTGATTTGCGCCCATGCATACAGCGCCATTTTTTGCACAGTCGTAGAACAGAACGTAGAAAAATATTGCAGCGCAAGCCACGTTATCGCGCCGCAACGCATTTAATTAAAGCATATATATTTGATAAAACGTTTTATCAATAATATTGACTAAACGGTCTCTACAATGGCCATTGCCGAGCACGATAACGTTTTTATATTCGTACCAAATCTGATTGGTAAGTTCCTGTTTAGTAAACAAATGTGACGTCGTGTATAATGGGCCGTAATCAATTATCCGCTTACAATGTCTTAATTTCATTTTACAAATAGACAAGTTATTGAATTAAAAAGCTGTCTATTGTAGCTGAGCAGAATATGCTTTGCCAAATGCATCATGAAGCATACAACTTTGCTGTTCTTGGAGTGATTTTTTATTAAAATTTTTTTTATTAATTATTTCTATTGCGCGCCCACTGTGCGACGCATTGGGTGCTGATGTGTCTGTGTGTGTGAGTGTGTAGATAGCAGACAATAACAAATATGTGTGCATAGATTTGTTATTGTTGGTTTAATTCAATTAGCAAGCGTTGGTGGCGCTGCAGCCTGTGAAATGCAACACACTAAACGCTCCCTCCTGCCCCTTCCATCCTCTCGGCCATTCAGCAATGTCACCTACTGCGCCATCTACATGCGCACCGACACATTATCGATTGGAAATTGAATTGCACTTGTTTGTTTGCGTCTGTGCGTGTGTGAGTGCGTGTGAGTGTGTGCGTGTGTATGTAATTTGCATTGTTTTGCCTTAAATTGTCTCTTACAGGTTATGCACGCATCGTGTTGGCTATTATTGCGTTTTGGTTTATGTCCACAAACTATGTGGTCGCCGGCTGGTGTTATATAATTAGTGCACTACTGGACGCCGTTGATGGACATGCCGCTCGGGCCTTGAATCAGAGTAAGTTCCTGAAAGCATCTTCAATATCTCTTTCGACTCCTCATCAATAATCAAGCAGACGAACAGAATGTATGACTCAGACACTGACCGGCAAAGTGTTCAGACACGTATTTATTTGTCCAGTTGTTGTTTGTGCAATTTATCCGCATACGTGTCCAAATTTGATATCGGATGGTGCCACATTTTAAGTTTTTTAACTTAACGACATTAAACAGTGCTTCACGGTTAAATGCGATTACCCATTCAAAGGGTATGTGTAGATTGTCGTATGCTTCTCAGTACATGTACATACATATGTATGTAACAAGTTAGCGGTAAATATATACTATGTATAGGTAGCAAATATATACAAATTCTATTTACAAGAATTATTTCAATAAAATAAGAAATGTCGGACAGCAGATGTAATAGTCATACAGTCTCCATAGGTTCACCCTCATTTCTTGTGAGATTATTTGGAATTGAAGGAATAAACACTGCGAGGTATTCCCTAGTCAGGCAACATGCTGAGCCGCCAGTACCTCAGCCTCATCTAAGGCGTTGGTTAATTTTCTACTCTTTTCAGGCACTCGCTTCGGCGCTATGCTGGATCAGTTGACGGATCGATGCGGTACAATGGGCCTGCTTGTTACCCTGGCCAATTTCTACCCGGAGTATATGTTCTGGTTCCAGTTGTCAATCGCCATCGATGTCGCCTGTCACTGGCTCTATATGCAAACGTAAATGAAGCAGATTCGGTTGCGATCCTCTTATAACTATTGACATTGACATTTCAGGAGCGTTGTCGTTGGACGCGTCTCGCACAAGGTGAACGACAACTTTGTGATGCGCATCTACTACCAGAAGGATGTGCTCACCTTTATGTGCTGCGTGAATGAGCTGTTCTACGTCTGCCTCTATCTATTGCATTTTACTAGTGGACCTTTGAGTAATTATATAATACTAATATAGTCAGGCACTCCCGACTATATAACTCATTATTCGTTGATTTATCATGCATTTCCTTTTCATCAGTATTAGGCGCTTCGCTGTATAAGATTTTGGCCTTTCTCACGGGCCCCTTCGCTATACTGAAGGCTCTGATCTCTGTGATGCACGCCTACGTAGCTGGCATCGATTTGGCAGCTGTGGATGTTCGCGAGCGCCAAGAGAAACGTCACAGTCCGGAAATCCAAAACTCTGGCAAAAAGTTGGAGTAAAAACCAAAAAGGGAAACAGCCAAAGCTAAAAAATAATGAAACAGCGAAAGAGAAAACCATTAAAAAGTACGAAGCAACAACTGTTAATTCCAAATAACTAAACAAAAATTAATTATTTCTAGTGGATTTTTTATTTGACGCTTTTATTTAATTTTTTTAATTTGCACTAATATTTATTTTAATGTA